ATTTTGAACTTATATGTATATATATATGTATCTATATATATATGTATATATATATATATATGTATATATATATATATGTATGTATGTATATATATACATGAAAATTAATGCGTCTTTCATTTCTTTCAGTCCAGCTTGTCCTCGAGCAGAAGTAACAAAGAAACAATTAGCTGCTATGGATGCATCAGAATTTCGAAGAAGAGGTAGAGAAATGGTGGATTACATAGCTGATTATCTTGAATCCATTTCAGAGCGAAGAGTAACACCTAATGTTGAACCAGGTTATCTGCGAAACCTTATTCCAAGTTCTGCACCTAAAAAAGGGGAAGATTGGGACGATATCATGAGAGATGTTGAAAAATTCATCATGCCTGGTGTAAGTTTTTCTTTTTTCAAATATCACTCCTCTAAATTAATTTTGGCCATTGTTGTAAACATTCATACCACTAGATCTTAAAACATTGAGTGAGTCAATTTCCATAATTACTTTTTTTTTCTAATTAAAGTAAATTGGATTCATGGAATCATAAGACTATAAAATGTTTTATGAATTAATAAAAATTATTTTATGCTTTGTTTGAATAAGGAAAAATGCCTTTCAGTCTTCCTCTTCACGATTTAATTTAAATTCATGCTCTTCCCCTCAAATTCAATTTACTTTTTTAATTTCTTCCTTCAAATGTTTTTTCTCGGCTTAAAGGTGCTGCAGAGCATGCACATAAACACTATAATGACATTTTCCCACCTTTTTTTTATTTCGGATTTCTGTAAATTTAATGTTAGATGAATAAAATGGAAAAGTTCAATTTTAATAAACATTCTCTATTAAAATGATATGATGAGTTATTTTAATAAATAAATGAAATATTTTAATGGATCTTAATTTCAATTGATGAAATTTTTTTAATATATTTTCCGGTCTGGATTTTCTTAAATTTTTACAAATATTTTCAATTCAGAACAGTATTTTTGTTTATTTTCCTTAAAAGATTAATTTCTTTCACTTTCGATCCTAATTATTTAATTTTTAAGAACCTCTGACAGCAGAAATGTATGTTTTGTGCGGCAAAATCTTGGACTAAATAACTATCATGTATTTCTAGCAAATTTTATATTCTATCATGTTAAAAAAATTGGTCGTTATCAGAAAACATATGTATTTTGATTTGCTTGCTTTGTAAAATAATTATTACCATTCACAACTGATGAAAGTGCTTTTGTTATATAAATAATTCCTTTAAACGAATAATATGCTATTTTCGTTACAATTATTCAAGACTGTTAGTTTATGGTTTATCTATTGCTAGCCAGCATTCCCGATTTTGATAATTAAAATGGCGCTAATTTTTAATGCAAACAAAATCCACAATTTTTGAAAAGTAAAAAGTGCTTGTAGTTTGAGGTACAATGTTTTGAAATTTGATTCCCACTGCATTGTTTTGGCTTAGATAAATATGCAAAAAAGGAGAATGATTTATTAGCTCCGAAGATTTTTGTCTAGGTGAAAAAAGTTACACAAAATTGAAGACTTTTTGTACATTTATCCATTTTAATTCTGCTCAATTCGTTTCAGTTCGAGAGTATAAAAAAATAATACTAGATGCAGACTTTCAAATTGTACTTTTCAAAGTGCTAGTGGAAAGAATCAGTTTTCCTACTCATACGGATTCCTCGTCCTTATTTTTAAAGTTTTCCAAGCGAGTTAGTGTTAATCTTAAAGTTTCTTTGTTTTCAATTGAGTGAAAAAGATACAAAGAAGAATAATTATGCATCAAGTCCACTTAATTTTTTAAGTTATTCACCAATACCATTTACTCGTAGCATAAAATTAATTAAATAAATAAAAAAAAACATATCTCTGGTTAATTTAATTTGCTACTGAGGTTACTTACTGTCAGGTCTTGATACTTATCCTTGTACTGTACTTGTCCTTGTTCTGTATTGATCTATCCTTGTACTTTTAGGTGACACATTGGCAGCATCCAAGATTCCATGCATATTTTCCAGCAGGAAATGCTTATCCTTCTATACTTGCAGACATGCTATCAGATGCAATAGGATGCGTAGGATTTTCTTGGGTAAAATACCTTTTCTTCTGTTTTTCCTCCTTAATTTTTGGTCAAAAAACAACTTAGAGCATACATTCTGTAAAATCGTAAACCTAATTTTTACAAAAAATTGAAAATTAATTTCTGTGATCCAGAAGAAATTTCAAACGAAGTAAGTCCGCTTGAATTTTACAATCTTAGAAATAGGCATTTTCAAAAACGGTAAGTATTCACCCTTTTATAAGGAAATATTTGTTTCTGAAATAAATGTTTTATTACATTGTTAACTGAATCGATTTGTTGCAAACCTAGCATATTAGAGAATCTATTTCACATTTACTTCTCGTGATTTTATTGTAAAAAATATCAATAGAGTAAGTATTTTGTTATTGAATTGGATGTGTGTATTCATTTTTTTATAAAAATGTAAATATATTATAAAAAATATTAAATGACTTTCTTTCTAAATTATTGTACTGGAAAAACGCAAAGAAAGATCAGTTATCAATAAAAAATACTTATTTGTTTAAAAGTTGCAAGAAATATACATAAATTAAATTAATTTTAGCATTTATAAGCGTAAAAATATTTACAAAACAATAATATCGTAAAAGGTTTGGTCTGTGTCACCTCAAAAAGATTCCAATTTACAAAATTTTAACCATTTTCTGTCTTTTCCAAAAAATGAAATATGCAAATATAAAGTGATCTTATACTGAGGTCATTAGAAACGGATGTTTAAAAATACTATTATAGATAAAGTAAGAATTAAAAAACACATGGCACTTATATCGTTCTTTCAAAAATTATGAACAGTATGAATCAAGCAAACCTTAAAAATAGCATTAAAATAGTGACTAAAGCAAATTTATAAATGTTGTACTACAGGAGGAAGAATCGCATATGATGCAGGATTCAGGTTCAATCGAAACTCAAAGCAATACAGTGAATCTCCTTGTTGTGTATACTCAAGTGTTATCGAACCATAAGGACAGAGGTTTTATTAAGTATTGGAAGGAGTGAAACCAATTGACCTAAAAATCAACGTTAAGATTAAATTGAGAAAAGTAACTGTTGGTCTCTCTAACTTATCTTAGTCTCCAACTTGATCTCTCTTCCTCGGCATTATATCAAAGTATCCGACTCTTGCTTGTAAATTTATACTGATAGCAGTATAATTCTTAACAATTCCAGGGAAAACAACTTAATGTGATTTTCAGGTCATTCAAAATGATCAGATTGTGTTTTATATATTCCGCGAGCGGAATATGCAAGCATTCTTCCTGCCTAATTAATCGCCGTAATACTGGAATTATTTTTACTTACAAGCGTAAACATTTGGCTCCGAAAGTCCTATCAGGTTACACTGGAAAATTCACAAGCCTTTAACTTTTTTTTAGAAAAGACAAATGATCATCTATGACAAAGTGATCAACTGGATTACAGCTATTCTTAAGATTAGATTAGTTACAGAAGTATTAGTTATAGCAAGATTAGTTACAGAAATATTAAGATAGTAATAATAGCCAATGTTAAGATTACAGCTAGTATTGAAACTTAAGTTGGCTATTCGAAGTTAAAGTCCCTAGGAAAAAGCATGACCATGTCTGTTATGCTAAAACGTTGACAGAAAAAATGAGAGACTACTGATAAAGGCCGATTTTTCCTGTTTTTTTAAAATAAATATAAGCAAAATATATGGGATTTTTTTTCACTAATCAAATCTCGAAAAATCACACTTCAAGCAAATTTCTTCAAAAATTCATCCAGATGTGATATCATTGCGTTTGTGGATCGGCAAAACATTACATGCAGCATTAACATTAGCAGAATTAATTATTGCTCGAAATTGAGAAGTAATGCAGCTAATATTTATGTACAGTCCGCAAAAAAAAAAAAAAGATATCACCCTGAATAACTTTCGTTCTAATGATCGGATTCTCACGAGCTAAGTGTCCATCTTAATGGTTCCTAGGGGTGACTTCAAATATGCTAATTAATTAGTGATAACTATTAATTAAGTTACGAAATCAGACACAAAAACGTACTTCCTCTGAATAAACATATGTTTCCTTTTACATATTTGGATTCTTAATCTTCAAAATATAGGGGGTAGCCGCAATCTGGGAAAAGTGGTCCCCATAGTTTGAGCAGGAGAGCAATTCAAAGTTTGGACCCCTTAATGTTAATTTCACTTTTTGCGTTTTTAGTCATATTTTGAAAGCTAATTAAGCAATTCAAAAAAAAATTGCACCCACTCATAAAACTCATTTACCTAAAGATAATTTCATGAAAAAATATTTTTTGATAATTAATTATTATTTTTTATTAATTAATTAAATTGAGGATGAAAAATTTTTGAATTATAAGGTATTAATTTCTTTATACCATATTAATCTACATATTTTTCAATTGAAAAAATCTAAAGTTTCAACTGTTTTTATTTATTAGGAGCTGAGAAAAATTAAAATTAATTATTTTTATGAAAATAATTTGGCGACAATGAAAAAATACTTTAATGGGGCGATTAATATTAAAATGTGACAAACTTCGCGCGCGTAGCGTAAAATTTCATTAATATTTTTTTTTGCTAATAATCGTTTGCTAATCTTCTTATTTTTATTTCTTTCAAACTATAAAATACGATGTTTCTTTTTTAGTCGTTTAATAATTTTTTTGCAATTTAGTAAAGAAATTTGAATAAAACATTTTGAATAAAAAACACTTCATGCTTCTGATAGAATATGGTTATACACCAGATTGTGCTTATTTAATGTGATTATTTTTTATTTTTTGGTTTTGTTTTTCAATAACTGATACAATTTCAATAATATACACGCATGTGCATAGATTTGGAATAATATATTTATCAATTTCTTGAATATATATTTTATCAATATTAATAAAAATACGTAGTC